AGTTAGAGTTTAGAGAGTATGGTAAGGACTGGGTGGTATCAAAAATACTGGGTGGTATCAACTTTAAAAGGTCCTTGAATGCCAGCCATGTGTGTTTGAACTTTACTTAGAAGGCAATAGGGAGTCATCAGATTTATTTTTTTTAGCAGAAGAACAATGTGACCACATTTAGGTATAAGAGAGATTATCCTGGCAGTGTTATATCCATGTGAGTCATTGTTATGAGCATACACAGCTATGACTACCATGGGTACAGTTCTTCTGCTACTCAATCCCAAGTAGGTACGAGTTCCCAAGAGTCCTTTGCCCCATTCACTACGGGAACTGGCATCAGCATTGGCAGAGGAAGATAGTGGGATTCCTCGGGCTCCAAAGACCAACATCAATGTAGAAAAGGTGAAATCATTCAATTAGTCAATCTATCAAATCAGAACTATGAATGGCTTCATTCCCAGCTTGACCAAATTCTGCCAAAAAGAGGGCTACATGGGAAGAAGTACAGAGCCTATGATAAAGGTTGGAGCTATAGGTACTCTTAAGAAAACATGTAATTTTTACCATACTGAAGGTTACCATTCAGTGATTTTACTGAGCAGTCACTAGGTATACGGCTCTGTCCCTGGCATAACAGCTCCCATCCAGAAATTGAGATTGAATTGACTCCACGAATACAATTTCAATGGTCAGCAAAACATGAAGTTCCTTCTGCTTTGCCTCAACATGTCTCTGATTCCAAGAATGTTCAGAGGCTAGCAGGTATGCAAAATTTGAAAACTGTGTCTAAACTGCCTAAGGGTGTGTGACCAGAGTAAAGAGTAGGAAGTAGATCAATAGGGGTATAGGAGGGTAGGGGAGGAGAATCAGGGCCCCAGAAGTATGCGAGCTTGTTTTTTGCCCCAAGCTTCCTTCCAATCATCATCCCTGTGACTTCCCAGACCCAAAAACCTTTCCCCAACTACTACTCCCCTATATGTGTTGTCTTCTGCTATTAGAATGTAAACTTCTTGAAGGAAGGGGGCTGTCTTACTTTTTGTATTTGTATCCCCAGTGCTTAGCATAGTGCCTGGCACATCTTAAGGCTTTAATAAATGCCTTTTATTTCATTTATTCATTTTTCCATATCTCATGTTAGCTGCTGAGTGGGAGCATAGTCCTTTTTTTTTTTTATCATATTTGCCCTTTTTTGATTGTCATGTAGGGGAAAATAGGCATTTTCCAAATCATAATCAAGGACAAAGAGTTGAAGATGAAAAAGCAATATTTAGTCATGAACTTTACTCAGAATGATGGCTTTGCCACTTTCTACCTCAGTGACCCCAAAATGATTCAAAATGGTTTTACTTCTCTGGGCCTCATTTTCCTGATCAATAAAATGAAGAGGTTGACCTAGAAGGCCTGCATAGATCTTTGGTCAGTTTTAAATTCTGCAATCCTATGGACAAGAATTGCCCAGAATGAGAACATGAAGCTCAGGGATCAGAAGGAATCTAAAGAGAACCTACAAGGAAGAAACCCTAGACCACAGATGCATCTCTAAGAATCTGAGGAAGGCACAGAATGAAGCCTGAAGTCATGTGTCAGAATGCCATGCTTTGAGAAGGTTTATATGGACTGATCACATGAGATAATATTAGTAAAGCACTTAATACAGTGCCTGGCATATGGTGGGCACTAAATAAATGCCCCCTTCCTTTCCCTTCTCTTCCCTATTTTACCTTCCCTTCCTTTCTTCCTTCCTTTCCTTTCTACCTTCCCTTCCTTTCTTCTTTTCCTTTTTTTCTTTTCCTTCCTTTCTTCCTTCCCTGTCAGTCCCTTTTACTTCCTTTCCTTTTCCCCCTTCCATTCTCCTTTCTCCCTTCTCTTGTCCCTTCCCTCCCATTTCCTTCCCTCTCCCAAAGTGAAATAAGAAGACCTAGGAAAACAATGCACACTGACCTCAATAGTAAAATACACGAAAACAATACCAATACCAAAAATCGACAAGGAATACTATAATTATAATGACCAAACTTGGCTGGAATGAAAGATGTAAGAATGTACCTCCCTCCCTTCTTTGCAGGGGTTGAAGAGGGGCAGGGGAAAGGGAACTATGGATGTGGAACATATGTGGACTATTGCAAATACTATTGGACTTACTGAATTGATTAGTTTTCCTGAATTGCTTTCAGCATTCTCCTCTTTTCTTTTTCATTCTTTGTTATCAGGGATGGCTTTATGAGTATGTGGAGGGTAACAGACACATTGGGAAGTGAAAGTGATGTAGGAACAAAAGACAGCAACATATACATATATATACATACACACATATATACACATTATATAAATAAATAAACAATATCTACATATATGTGTATCTATATTGCTATCTTTTGCTCCTACATCATCCTCATTCCCCAACATGTCTTTCCAATATGCATTCTACAAAAATATATACATGCACATACATATACATGTGTGTGTACACACACACACACACACACACACACACACACATACGTGTATAGCTGTGCCTTTAGAACATTCCAAGTTCAATTTCACTCTTAGGTACTCCCCACTTGTGACTGACATCCTTTCCAACTGCTGAGCTCTTTGGTGAGTGTTCCAGCTAGTTAGAGAGCTGTGTGTGTGTGTGTGTGTGTGTGTGTGTGTGTGTGTGTTTAAAATCCAGAAGCCCAAACACCCTCTAGATGCAATGGAGTTTCTCCTTTGCTCAAACCTGAATTCCTCCACCTTGCTCCCTCCTTGCCCACTAGGGGGGCAATGTGTGACTGAGCCTGCACAGGCAGAGCCTTCAGCAAGGTTACTATATATATACACCTGTTGTGTGTCAGGCGTTTGCGTATTTCCAAGTGAGCAGCGCCTGTTGTGACAGGCTGGGCGAGCCAGCCAGTTATTGCTATCAGCACATTCTGGGAGAGGGACAAAATAACAAGAATCATTTACATCTTCCCAAATGAACTTGTATTATAATGAACAGGCGTTTTTTGCCTATTCTTTCCCTCTAGTCCCCCACCTCTCCTAGGGCTGCTGGCTTCCCAGTCAGAGGAGGATGGGAAAGAGGGGAGAAAAAGGACTCCATAGGAGGTGGGATTGCATCCTTCCAATGCACCCTGGTAATAATCTACATTTCTTGGGATCAAATGCACACAACAAAAACGATTTCATCCCATGCATGAGCAGCACTTTGGAACTTGATATGGCGAAAAGAAATACAAGATTTGGTAGTAAAAGACCTGTGTTCAAATCCTGGGTCTGCCACTTATGACCTGCATGACCTTGAGCAAATTATTAATTTCTCTGGGCTACAATGACCTCTGTCTGCAAAAATGAGGGATTTGCATTAGATGGTTCCTTCTAGCTCTAAATGTAAGATCTTGTAAAACTGGGTTTGGGTATCTTATCAGGTGACCAGGCACTGCCTTCAAGGGATTTCAGAGACTCTCCAAATTTTCTGGATGGAAGGGATCACCACGGCCAATTGGGACCCGAGTAAACATCTCATCCAGAACATCTCCAACGGATGATTATCCAGCCTGTGCTTGAAGGTTCCCTATGATGGGAAACTCGCTGCTTTCACATGCAGCCTACTCATTCCCTATTTGGATAGTTTGAAGTATCTAGACGTTTTTCATTACATATAACAAATATTCATCTCCTTGCAATTTCTATCCGTTACCCCCAGTTCTACTATCTGGGGCTAAGCTGCAAAAGACATAGTCCTCTTCCACATCACAGCCCTTTAGATACCCAAAGAAAGCTATCACGTGTCCCCTGAGTCTTTTCTTCTTCAGGTCCGATAACATCCCCAGTCCCTTCAACTGATTTTCCTATTATTACAGATGTCAAGGACCTCACTATTTTTGTTGCCCTCCTCTGCACGTTCTTTAGTTTTTAATGTCCTTCCTAAAATGGAGGTTCCAGAATGGAATCAATAATCTAGATGTGGCTGGACTAGAGCAGAATGCAGCAGAACCATCATTGTCTAGGTTTTAGATGATCTGGTGTTCTTAATGTAACCTAATAGTATATTAGAATTTTTGGCTTTTGTTTTTTGTTTTTATGTTTTTGCTAGGGTTGATTAGGAGGGCCTAGTAACCTTGATGAAGCTAAAGAAATAAGGGCATGGTCTGCAGCTTTGGCTGTGTGTGGAAGACTCTTCAAGTTATCCAGGTTCTCCTGATTACTTTCAGCAGCTAGCATGCCTTTGTTGGCTTGTATTAAGTTTTTCATCCTTCAAGATTCCAAAGGTTGGGTTTTTTTGTTTCTTTGTTTTGGCAGGGGTCAGCCCTGGACAAAACTTGAAAGGGAGAAAAGTTTCATTCTGGTACACTGACTCCCCCTTTTTTCTCTTCATGATCACACTCATTTCTCTTCCCCACTTGAGGTACCCAATATAATCCCAGTCTTTCCTCCTTGCCAAAACTCATTTTCACAAAATACTCTGAAAATCTGATAATTTATTCCTTTTTTATTTGGAGTTTAAGTCTGATGAAAATGTCTATATTTCTTCTCTTTAATTCTGAAATTTAAAAAATAAAGCCATGTCCCCTGTTAAAAGACTTTAGGCAACAATGAGAAGGTAGAGGACATATTTTTGAGCTAGAGCTTCCTGCCTGATGATCCCTGACATCATAACATGAGCAGTATGAAAGTGTCTATATAGATGGGCAGCTCCTTACTCTGTCTATGACTAAGGTCCATCTTGACAATGAGTTATAATTAAAAATAATAATAAAGCTTTCTTTCCCCTATATCTCTGACTTGAATACCTTGAGTATTAGTGGCTTTCTTCACTTTTCCCTTTCTTCATCCACACTTCATTTTTTAAACTCCTTTTTAATCCTTGGCCATAGCTCTGAAATTTGTATACTTTTCTCCATACTTTTGTCTCTGAAAGGAAATCTGATAGGTTCTCTCTTCCCCTGGATCAATACATTCTTCTCCTTACACACACACACACACACACACACACACACACACACACACACACACAACTGTACCTGGTCATCGCCATACAAAATCAAGCATTTGTCGGGATCCACGTAACTAAAGCAAAGAAAATAAGACAAAAGAAAAATCGTAAGAACTCAAGAAAGATTATAAAAGTTAAAAAAGCTGAAATAAAAATGAAAAGCACTTTCATTTTCTTCCTCATACTATATATGTATATACATATACAATATATTGTTTGTATTTGTGTACATATATACATTCATATATTACATATACATACTTTACATACATGTAGAGAGTATGTATAGTACATATATACCATACATATATCATACATGTACTACATCCTATACATATACTGTATATCTATAGTATATGTGTGGCATATACTATATATCAGTAGTATACTATATATATATATATATATATATATATATATATAGTATATGTATATATGTGTTTAGGTGGCTAGGTGGTACAATGGGCAGAGCACCAGGCCTGAATTCAGGAAGACTCATCTTTCTGAGTGAAAATCTGGCCTCAGACATTTGCCAGCTGTATGACCCTGGGCAAGTCACTTAATCCTGCTTGCCTCAGTTTCCTCATCTGTAAAATGAGCTGAAGAAGGAAATGGCAAACCACTCCAGTATCTCTGCCAAGAAAATTCCAAATAGGGTCGTGAAGAGTCAAACATGATTGAAACAACTGAAGAACAATAACAACAACAATAGCATGTATGTGTAAAGTATACTATATATGTATAGGATATAGTATATATATAGTATAGTACTGTGTGTATATATGTATATATATGTATAGGATATAGTATATATATAGTATAGTACTGTGTGTATATATGTATATACAGTATAGTACTGTGTGTATATATATAAAATATATATATATATATATATATATATAAAATTTATCTAAGTTTATATCTATCTGTACCTCTCTATATTGTATGGTGTACAGACCTTGGAAATGGCCATTTTTTACCACCCAGGTAAAAAGCAACTGAATCCACCCCTCTCAAGTGAAGCGGATTTATTCTGTGTATCTGTTGCTCCTGGAATTTAAAACCTTGGACTTTAGCAGGCAGTAGGAGGTGGGTGGTGGGTGGTGCCTTCAGCATTCACAGTCCTAGTTATGGTAGGCACATTTACCATTAGAGAGATATAAGGGTCTGTGCTTACCTAAGTTGTTGTGGGCTTTTTTTTTAGCCTTAATGCAATATCAATGAGATAAAAGTGCATCAAGGACCATTAGCTACTCCCATTTGAACAAAAAATGGGAGCTAAATGCAAAGAATGGCATAGCCAATGATAAGACATCCATCAAACTCTCCAGATCGAATTTCACAATTGAAGTCTACATTCAGCAGTTCTATAGGATTCCGAGCTGGAAGGGATTCTAGAGATCATTTAGTCCAACTCCCCTAGACTGTGTTACCCTTAGGTAAACTGAGGTTTAATGAGGTCACTCAAAGTCACTGAGCAAGATCCAGGATAGAAGCCAACATGAACACTCCAAATCTAGCCATTCTTTTCTACTAGATGTCTCCCTCAAAAAGCTTTTCTATTCCAGAACTTTGTACTAAAATCTTGGTTTTCTATGTGTCTAATGTTAGCATTGGCAACAAGGGCTGCAGTGCAAAGAAAAGAGCTTTTCACAAGAGGGCCCCAACATCATCAAACTTTTCTTAATGGAAACTACTTTCTGGAACCTAATCAAAATAAGCTCCTTAGTGTCATCAATTTCTGTTTTAAAAAATAAAACTTGACAACATTCTTTTCAACATTTCATATGTTTGCTAATAGATTTCAGATCCACTGGCATTAACAAAAAGGATTGTTAATTCATTTATTCATTCATTCATTTGTGTATGTATGTATGTATACATGTATAACTACTATGTTCCAGGCTCCATGCTAGATCCTGGAAATACAAAGTCAAAAGTAAAACATCCCTGTTCTCAAGGACTTTACACTCTACTGAGGGAGACGCCATTTCCCTCATTCTGTTTATTTCAGTTTGTATCCATTCATATAAGTCTTCCCATCCTTCTCTGTATTCATAATAGTCTTGCTTCTTATAGCAAAGTAATATTCCGTTACATTCATGTATTACACTCTGTTTATCTACTCTGAACAAGTGTTTCTAGCATCCTGAGTATAGAGGTGGAAAGTAGTCAACACCTATTTCCAGCTCATCTTTGACTAACTTTCACTCCAAGAACATAAATACAGAATAGTTTTGGGGTTAGAGGGTACTGGTAGCTGTCCAAGGGTGGACAGGTATCAGGAACGGTCTTATTTAGAAAGTGACACTTGATCTCGAGTCTTAAAGTGAGTAAAGGATCCTATAAGACTAAAAGGAGGAGGTAGAACATTCCAAGGATGGTGCAGAGCCAGCACAAAGCTGGAGAGATTAAAGATGAACCTACTGAGTGTGGGGAATAGTTAGAAAATCAGTTTGGATGGCCTGTGACAGTATAGAGTCAGGTCAGGGCTGGGCTATAACGGGCTTTAAATAGCAGACAGAGAAGTTTGCATTTGATTCTCAATGCAATAGGGAGCCATTAGAGTTTATTATGTAAGGAGCGGGGTGACCTTCACTTAAAGAAAATCCCTTTGGCATGGATCCAGGACAGACCTAAGACAGATTCTCAAAGATTCTAGGAAATAACAGGTTCATAATTTCATAGTTGAAAGAAACTTTAAAGATCATGTCTACAGGTCAGGAAACTATGGCCCATGGGCTAAATCTGGTCTGCTGATTGTTGTTGTATGGCCTGCAATTGCGTTTTAAAAGTAACAACCATTCTTAGCTTGCTGATCATAGTTTCCCAACACCTGATCTAGTCCATTGCCCCCCCCCTTTTTTTTTTTACTGCTGAATTGAATTCCAGAGAAGCTGGTGATTTTTCTAAAGTCATGAAGGGAAAGGAAGACAATAACCTTTTATTATGTAGTGCCTAGATACTTTTTACAAATATTATAACATTTGATTACCACAAGAGACCTGTGAGGTAGGTGCTATTATTATCCCCATTTTACATTTGAGGGAACTGAGGCAAACAGAAGTTAAGTGACTTACCCAGGGTCATACAGTTAGTAAGTGTCCGAGGTGGGATATAAACTCAGGGCTTCCTGACTCCAGGCCCAACACATTATCTACTGTGCCACATTAACACTAACACAAGATAGTAACAGAGCTGGAACTTGAACCTAGGACTTCTGACTGCAAGACAATGCTTTTTTTAAAATTGTATTTTTTTTTATTATTTAATTTTTAGTTTTCAACAATCACTTCCATAAGCTTTTGAGTTTTAAATTTTTCTCCACCTCCCTCTTCAAGATGGCATGCAATCTGATATAGGCTCTACATATATTCTTATTAAACATATTTTCACATAGTCATGTTGTAAGGAAGAATTAGAACCAATAGGAGGAACCACAAGAAAGAGGAAACAAAACAAAACAGAAGAAAAAAAAGGGCAAATAGTATGCTTCGATCTGCATTCAAACTCCATAGTTCTTTCTCTGAATGTGGATAGCGTTTTCCATCATGAAACTTTTGGAGATAAAACAGTGCTTTTTATATGACACCAGATATTTGTGTAGGCCTTGTAAAGTTTTCAATAAAGTATCTATCCATTTGTTCCTCAAATGTAAGCAAAAAATCATTAGAAGTTGTGGAAAAGCCAAGTCCTTCGTGGCTAGCCAGCCATGTTGTAGTTGGACCTTCATATGTAAAAATGGTGGCACTATTCTAGATGTAAAAGGCAAATTTTCCTCACACAGATAGAATTGCTCATTCAGATTGTTGAAAAGCCAGTCCAGTACAACAAGGCCATAAGCCAAAGATGGGATGGTCGCTGTTGTAAAAAGAGATATTGACTTCTTCCTACTTCTTTTTTTAAAAAAAATTTTTATTAATTTTTTATTTTTAGGCAGTTGGGACTAAATGACTTGCCCAGGGTCACACAGCTAGTAAGTGTCAAGTGTTTGGTCTGAGGCTGGATTTGAACTCAGGTCCTCCTGACTTCAGGGCCAGTGCTCTATCCACTGTGCCACCTAGCTGCCCCTTTCCTACTTCTTCAGGTAAGATTAAAAACACATGTTCAGAGTGAATAAATGAGATGTGGTACCTTCATGCAGCTAGGTGGTGCAGTAGATAGAATACCCAAACTAGAGTCAGGGAGACCTGAGTCCAAATCTGACCTCAGACGCACACTAGCTGTGTGATCTTGGGCAAATCACTTAACCTTATTTGCCTCCGCTTCTTCATATGTCAGATGAGCTGGAGAAGGAAATGGCAAATTGCTCCAGTATCTCTGCCCAGAAAGTCCCAGATAGGGTCACAAAGTCAGACACAGCTGAGCAACAATAACCTCCATGTAATAGGATTTTACTCTGCAATTAGAAACTATGATTATTATGAATACAGAGAAGCATGGGAAGACATGTGAACTGATGCAAACAGAAATAAGCAGAACCAGGAAAATGATATATACAATTATTACAACAACATAAATGGAAAAAACAACAATAAAATAATTAAAACTGAATGCTGTAAAATTGTAATGGTTAAGCTAAGCCCCAAAGATGAGATATGAGAAAGTACCTCTCCAGATTCTTTGCAGAGGTAGGGAATTGTAGGTGTGGAATATTGCATATACTGTTACACTTTTTAATAGTTTTCCTGAATTGTTTATTTTCCCCACCCTTTTAAAATTCTGTATTATAAGGAATGCATAGATCCCTGAAAGAGAGAAGGGATTGAGAAATGTAGGTGATATAAAAATAAACGATATCAGTAAAATATATTTTTCTTAAAAAGTTATTTCTTCAGAAAGCACCTTCATATAGAGTTTACAGTTTTTGCTGACTCATCTAGATCTGTTCTGAAGCCTCTGGTTCATTTTCACAAAGAATCATTTATGATAAATACTGCTATGTATGGTTACTTCCAATGGTAGAAGTGTCTTGTCACTTGCAAACATTTTCAGTATCCTGCCAGTCACAACAGATCACAGGAAACACCATATTTCACTCAATGGATATGAGTTGCAACTTGCCCTACCCCAC